ACGGCTAAAAAGCTAAAATAAAATAAAATATTGAGAATAATTTTAAATAAAAAAAAAAAACCAAAAAGAAAGATACTAAATACTCGGAACCAGGTAGAAAAACAAAACCTAAAATCTAAAAGTAACAATAAATAAAAAAATAGATATATTAAAAATAATGGTGCTAATTAAACAAAGAACAAAAAGAAAGATACAAGAACACTAGGAACCAACGGCCAAAAGAAACTATCTAAAAAAAATAAATAAAAACTTTTTAAAAACAAAAAATGTTGTAAAAAGATAATAAAGGTAATAAAAAACAATAAATACCGAAGTGAGGATAGTATGAAATAAAAAAATTTAAGTATTTATAAATATATACACGTTCATAACTTCGCGATTTTTGATCGTATGACCAGCCATGATCACATATTTTGGGGGTGTCCGGTTAGGAATTACTTTTTTGATGCATTTAAGATTACTGGTTTATAAAAATATCAAGAATACAATTTATACAATATGTAGATCAATATGTAATTGATCCCTAATTTGGAAATTGATCATGAAATAACGATGTCAAGAAAAACCCGGCTGAAGTCACTTCCGACCCTATCCGAATCCAATAAAATCACAAAATCTTGTGAAAAAGTTTTCGGAATGAAATTTTGAGATACTACGACCCATATTTTTTTTGGCCGGCAGCTCGGATCAAACATTATGATAAATGAAATTTGGATGTGTATCTTCTCTTACATCAGATTCCCAATAAACCTGGTACATTTTATCTAAAAATTGTTAAGTAAGAGCAGAATGAATTATTTTACAATATGGACTTGTTCATTGCCTTTTCCATGTGTCCTAAATTTATCAATGTTGAGCAATTATTAAAAAGGGCGGAATTCTTACTAGATACGTTTTCTCATGCATTACAGTATCTATGATCAAAGATTGATGTAAGCCAACCTGACATTGGCAGATTACTGCAAAATAATCATTGGGCTAATGATTTGCCACTTTTGGTTTTTAAATTTTTATTAAGTATCTAGTTTATTCAGAGATTTACTTCTGAAAAGAAGTGATATGGAAATTTTTTATTATCTTTCTGGTGGTCCCCATCAAATTGGATATGCTCCAAGCGTTTTGAAGAAAAATATGAAATTCGTACCATTTCCTTCAAGAAAGTTTAATAACACAAATCCAGCTTAATTGAAGACTATCCTCATCAAGACGGTTACGAGAACAATCAATATCTTAATATAATGGTGAGAGCCATTTTAATTGATAAAGAATTCGTGAATTTATATCATGAAATATGCGATAACTTTAATGATCTCATAATTCAAGGTGATTTTCCCATCAATAATATCTATCGGTCATATTAAACCTGATAGTGAATCAGACGCTGTGAATATGACTTAGAAAGTTAATTGATCTTGAGATTAAATTAAATAGCGATATTATTGTTGACATTTTCATCTCTTTAAACATAGGTTACAATAAATTGGCAAAATTTTAGAAGATCGTTTAGAGAAATCACAAACCTGATGAAAACTTTTTAAACGAATATTTAAATCTAAGATATTTTAAGGGAATGGGAATTTAATCCTCGTATTGTAACTGATCTATTCGCATAGGTTTTTAAAAAGTTTTTTTTTTGAATTCTTTGATATAAAAAATATACAAGTGAATCTCGATATAAGAAAGGTGGCCAAGTTTATAGTAAAAATTTTACTGAACTTTCTTATATTAAGAGTTTATTAATAACTTTCTTATATTTAGAGTTTATTAATAACTTTCTTATATCGAGTGGATTTTACTATATACAGGTTTTGGCTTGACTTTCTTATATCGAGA